CACTTCACAATTGTGAACTGTATTGTCTCCTTTGAGGACGGACAGCGGAGTGGACAAACGATAAGTAACAATACAGGTCTAGCATTGGGTCAAAACTTATACAACAATGTAATCAGTAATCCCGTCACGATTTCCATTTTTCATAACGCAATAAAAGGGGAGATTCCTTAAGAAGCAATAAACGCCTCGACCCGCTGACGTCGGTTTTGGTGGCCTGTGGTTTGCGATGGATAAATTGGAAGCGTAGCGACGCGTTGATGAATATGTCTCGATCGTTACCACGCATTTATCAGCTGTGACGACGTCAACGTTGAATCGCTCCGTGTAAATATCTCACTGAAGTTCAACACACGTACCCGAATATGCCATCTTGGCGCTGTAAGAGAAAACCCCGAGATAATGCCCACGATATTGATCACGTTTCCCCTTCGCAATAAGTGAACATTGATGCTAAACAATGTGCTTGAATCGCAAGTATATAGTACTTCCTCACGAATGTCTTCGGCCACCTGATACAAAATGTTAGTGTTGTGGATAGCATTGCTTTTGTGTGCTGACTGACAATACTGTTCCACGACATATGCATCACCCGCAAGCACATGTTTTGTGTTCCTTCGTAATTGTTGGTTCTAGTCAAGACCCGCGCCCTACCAACCGTCGTGACGGTGGCCAAAGAAGCCTCCGCAATGCTCCGCTCGACGTTGACTCTGACAACGGTACCGGCATCAACCTCGATGATATTAGCATATGGACAATGGTCGGGAATCAGAATGCCACTGATCAAGAAGGCGTCATCGGAGACCATGATGGTATGAGTTCCATTCTCAACAATAGTAAAATCAATAGTGTCGCAGTTGGCGTCGGTTGCGCTGCATTGGCTCTGATAAGCGCGCCGCCCTCGAACAATCTGTGATTCAATGCCCAACTAAAACAGTCTGAGTTAGCCGAAGTTAGTCTTTTTTGGGTGTTACTTACGGCATTACCAATCCAAAAGATTCCAGTCATTCGCAGAGGCAGATATGAATCACTCATGTGCAATGTTGAATATTTTTGTAGGCTGCGTTGGCTATGGTAACACCTTGGTGCTTGAAGTTAGCTGTTGAAAAACAACGACGTCATAGCAAGAACCACGTCGTTATTTTAGTGGCTCAGAGATTGGCGTTGGAAACGATAACTCTAACCTATGGACGGTATTATGTGTCCTGTAATTGATTGGCCAACTGCCGGGTTGGGTGTCTAGCCATCAATTTATGCCACCGAGTTCTGCTCAAGGCAATGACTCAGTCATTGAACCCAGTGGCCGTGATATTCAAGCATGGTTCTCAGGATATTGGCGCTGTGTGAAGATGTACATTGCATACTCTGATTGCATGTACGCTAGGTCGATCCTCATAACAATACATGATTAATTTGCGACGACTGCAATTTCACAACGATCTCAATCCATCAAACATGTTACCTGGTATCATCGTTGTTTGCCGTCAAATGATGTGACGCGAAGTACATATTGGGCTGCGAAGAAAAAGTGCGTCAGTTATTGTGCTAAACAGCCTTGGTGGAAAGAATAACGTACCTCAATAGGTTACGCGTCGATCAGTATGTTTTTGTAAACAATGTTCATAGTCTCTTTAGTGTTTCGTGATACCGACATGCATAATTCAATGTTCTCCACACTTGTACACCTTGACAGAGCCACATACAACTGGCCGTGAGAGAAAACCGGACTGGGAAGGAATACGACGATGTTGTCCAAGCTCTGTCCTTGAGACTTATTGACAGTCATGCAGAAAGCTGGCGCCACGGGGTACTGATATCGATTGAACGGCAGTGGACACACTGCGTTTCCTGTATGGTGCAGATTGATACGTGGCAATATCACTTTCTTACCCTTCCTGCCACCCGTGATGATTCTACACAAAAGATAAGTCCTCGCGACATGTGTAACTAAGAGTCTCGTACCATTACATAGTCCTTGCCGTAAATTAAGATTTCTAAGCAGTATGATTGGCATCCCTGCCTTTATGTGCAACTCGTGGACTGGAAAATTAGGAACAGCAAAGGAGTTGAGCATTTCCGGCGTTAACGGTTCACAGGTGGTGGAATCGTCGTTGGTGTCAATTGAGTAGGAAATAAATGTTTCCCCGTTAATTTTGTCCAGTATCTCCTCATTAACAGTGACGACGGACTTGTTGAGAGGTGTTATGATGCATTGCTCTGCATAGTAATCGGACAATGAGGCCCAATCCGCGGCAGTCACGAAGGAATTAGACTTCGAATATAATTTAACTGCCATCCGTTTGTCGTATACCTTGTCGGGTGGAATGCATTTGATCGCCAAATGTTCCAGTGGAACGTTAGCCTCCGTGTGGTCTTGCAACAAACCCGAGCCCAGCTTCAACAACCACGCGGTGTAGTCAACATTGCGTCGGACAGAAGTCGTTGTTCTGTGATCCGCTCCAAGTAATCTAACGTTGACAGTAAGTGCGAATTGCTTAACCAATGGCCATAGGTATGATCGTCGGAGTGACGCCGTGGCTTGCTGTGGCACGGTGGCGCGCGGGATTACTGGTAACGTTTGCCGAAAGTCGCCTGCAAACAATACTATAATACCACCGAATGGTTTGTCGATGCTCCGCAGCTCCCTGAGAGATCAATCCACACATTGAATGTCGGCCTTGTTCTGCATAGATATCTCGTCCCAGACGATAATCTTGCATTGTTTCAACTGTACTGACAATGCGTCCCGTCCGCTGAAATTGCATGATGAGGAATCATCGGGATTGAGCGGAATCTTAAAACCTGAATGCGCTGTTGTTCCTTTATAGAGTAAGAGAGCAGCGATGCCTGAAGACGCAACGGAAAGAAACGGAATCCGCATCGCATTGCAATAGTGCAAAACCGTATTGATGGTAAAGGTTTTGCCCGTTCCGCCCGGACCGTCCAGAAAGTACAACCCACCTTGATCCACAGCAATGGCTGTTCGAATCTCCTCAAACAGGCCAATTTGCTCATCGTTCATCGCACTCAAATGGTCCATGACGTATTCTGTACTTGCATCAATTGAGAAATTTTCCTCGTTTGCATAACCAAGTAGTAAGCCATATCCATCTAAAACGCCTAAGTTGGGCTGAGGCAGCCCTGCCGATTTGAGATCAAGACCAACCTCCGACAAAGCATCTTCTAAACGCCATAATGACAGCGCTTCAATCATCATCGGCGTTGGTACTTTCTCCGAATCGATCTGTTTCATTGCATGCACGCAATCGTCGGACAAAGGCAATGAGAATAAATTCCAGAGTCTCAATGGGTTGCTTGCCTTCCCATACTTTAATATGATAGCGAACAGACTCCTTAATTGATAAGTCGATTGGGTATGAGAACATTCTTCCATAGTAGCAATGAAGTGGTCATCATTAAGTAATAAACCCAACGCGGCGGCTGCGCCATTAAAATTGTCATACACAACCCCGTCAACTGTGCGTAGATCTTCGTATGATGTTGGTCCTTTTACGTTGAACAACAACAGTCGTAAAAAGTAGCGTTCTCCCTGAGATAAACTGGCAAAATACACCCTAGGGATTGTTTTGGATTTGTTGGTCCTAACGACCCATTTGTGATCGTCGTCGTCCCAGGAAAAGTAGTATACCATCTCCGGGTAGGTCAATGTCCTTACGCTGATGTTTGCTTTCACCAAAAAGTAATTTGTTTGGCATAGAAGAAAAAATTGAGTTAAAGGGGTTCTAGCAGCTCTGCCAGAATCGATTTGATTTTGAAGAGATCAGATCGTGCGGAAGTAAACAACGTTGTCTCGAGGCATATGCAGAGGTAGTCGCTGCACTGCTGGAAAGCGTACCGACATTACAAACATGAACAAACGCCAACAGGCTACAGATTTGTGGTCAGTTGTTGTTACGTTATGTTGTTGAAGTTATTGAACGTACCTTCTGTTCCGGTCAAGCTTTGGCCATCAATATATAAATCGAGCTCATTGTCTGCAGACATTGATAGTGAAGCCCCGTCATGACCTTGGGTGATATATTTGTACAGATACTTCAAGGCTTGGATACTGCAAGCAACCTCGACATTGAGATGACAATTATATTTCAACAGCAAAAATGGATTATAAGGCACTACATCTCGATTTGTGTAAGTGTAGCCCCCCTTCACAAAAGTTCGGCCGTTGTTTCGGCGGCGGTACGTAGGATACGCATCGTCAGTCATCGTCGTGCATTCTGCATATTCCTTTGGAAACCCAAACCGACATTTATCATTCTTCCAGCAGGAGCTTCCTTGTTGACAGGGACAATGAAGCATAAACTTTGTAACAACCTCGTAAAGTCCTGCTTCTTTGTCTGGATCAGGAAGCTCAGCGTGTACCACCAAATCTACCGCGTGGGGTGTCCGAGGCGCTGCGCCCTTAGCTAGAATAGGTATGAAATGCGCATGAGGTCGGCCTCTTCCTTGAAATTCGATTGTCGACACATGAGATAGACCTTTACCCAGTCTGCCTTTCTTGTTGACATCGTGCATCATGTCTTCCCATTTCATATTGAAAACCCGTGTGATGGCGTCAGGACGATTCATAGCTGTTTGACCGTGTTGCAAAACTGACTTGATTTCGGGCCAATGATCGTTAGCTGTCATCGTAATGAAGAAACTGGGTGGACCATAATGTCGGACCAGTGCCATTGCGTCGTAATAAAGTTGTGTCATTGCGCGGGGACTGCCGATGTGCAATGATGGCAGAATAACACGACGGCCAAAGGCGAAGTCATTGCGGCCAAGCGCCTCGACCGCGCCAGAGTATAAATCAGCGCGTATGTTGTCTTGATGGGTTCTGAAATACATGATTCGTTGGTTCTCTACACAGGCATATAAGTCTGTAGCGATTTCCTGCAACAACATGTGTGAAGAGAGAATGGTTGAAAATTCTTTGGGGCGTTGGAATAGCAAGTACGCAAACCACTGTAACGTCGAAACTTTCCCACCAACGTCTGTAATCAAATCAGCATATATAACGGAAGCAAATCGAGGGGTCGGCACTCACCATCGTCAGTTGGTACTCTGTAGTTCTTGTCGTACCCCGCTTGGCCCCAAGGGAATAACACCGGGTATCTCAGAGGTAGATAACCAGTGTGCCGCTTGGACACCCGCTTAAATCCACCGTCAACGCTGTGCAAAATGATATCACGATTGTTTTCGCCAATATCGCCACCACCGCCCACGATCATTGCTACCTCGGATGCTGAAGGTCGGACATATGTTCTGACGTCGTGACTGAATTGTCCCGGAGGTGGCGGTGGGATGGATTTGATGCAAAACGAAATGCTCTGGTATTGTTGTGCAACTTGGTACGCCATCTTGAACTGTATTGCATACGGGTTGGAAACATAGAAGAAGTCCAGGAACTGTTTGATAATTGTTGGATCTATATCCGCTTGTGACATAAAAACTCTGTGGTCAGCTTCCTCGTCGGTGTCTTGACCCATTAAATAAATTTGAGCAAAAGCTGGGGCCTCGTTATCCCGCGGCAAAATGCTCCCCATATTATGCACCAATTGTCCAAAAATTTTAAAACAACAAATTCCATAGGGCCCATCGACACTGCGATCAATCTTGCAACCGAGAGAAGTGAAACTTAACGTGTTGTTATAGCTCCTGATATTGTTGCGAAACTTGCGAGCGCCTGTCATAAAAAAGAATCAGAAATGGTAGCAACATTGCAGCAAGTATTGCTTACGGTCTGTATCTTCAGTTAATAAACCAATGAGGAAGGGTGGCGCGCTAGGGAATGTAAAGTAATGTTGCGGTAGTTTGACTTTACCGTTACGGCAGCACATTGTGTACGTCGTCGGCTGACTCAATGGCAATTTAGTGGGTCTTTCTCTGTCCCAGTGGAGGGCTCAACAGGCAGTGCAAACGTCAGTGCAGGTGCCGAGGTTGTGCGGTATTTCGTTGGCGAACCGATGGCGAAGGAAAGTTTCGTGATTTTCAGCCTCATGGCTTGCTGCAATTTGTTGAGGGGCCATTGGGGTCAACGAAGCAAATTGAGAGTTCCGAAAGCTGGTCGATGAAATAGATTCAAAATGAGATTGTTCTGTGATAATGGCAGTAATTTGGCAACTAAAGGCCGACAAAGTCGAAAACAAATATTCATCGTAACCGAAAGAGAGGTCAGAAGTATAAGGATGACAAAACAGTCTTCGTTAGTTGATTCGAGATAGAGGGCATATGCCGCAACGTACCACTTGTTATTCCTGGTAAGGGTTCCGCGGAATAAAGTTTGATGAGGAATGAATTGTAACAACGGTGTTCTGTATTTATCAAAATGCTATTGGTGAGAAGTAACGCACCATTATGATTACATTTCGGACTGGTCAATCTGACCGTGGCAATCATTGAACACTGAGCAACATTGGGCCTTGGGCCGTGGCATCGCCAT